GCTCTTTACGGGAGATATAAGGCTGCTGAAGCATCCCTGACTGATGGGATAACCTTTCATCACTGGTGCATACAGACCCTTGCAGAACAGTATTCTGGGCAAGGCTTCCCTCTCTCTGCTGCTCGATACCCTGTATTGTGAAAACACACTCATTTTGCTCCCCTCAGAGTGATTTAAAGGCAATGACTAGGCTCATAAACGCTCTTTACGGGAGATATAAGGCTGCTGAAGCATCCCTGACTGATGGGATAACCTTTCATCACTGGTGCATACAGACCCTTGCAGAACAGTATTCTGGGCAAGGCTTCCCTCTCTCTGCTGCTCGATACCCTGTATTGTGAAAACACACTCATTTTGCTCCCCTCAGAGTGATTTAAAGGCAATGACTAGGCTCATAAACTCTAACCCTGACCACACACAAATACTAAGCAGATCTTCGTGACTGTCAACAGTTTTCTCAGGCACTTGTGAGCAAGACAACCACTGTCTACCAGAGTCTGACACTCCGGTACATCATACGCACTGGGGGTACAAGCAGCTAGAACAGGGAGTTGCATAAATTTATTCTGGGAATCTACTTTGTGTATAAAGTATTTATGAATTTAGAAGCCTTTCTGTATATCACTGATCCTTTACTAGTGTTTATAAAATGAAATTTATTTGAATGTATTGTTTCCAGAGCAAAAAAAGAATGGTGTTTTATTATGTTGATGGGGGATTGAAAATCCTTGATTTTAATTCAACAGCAAAAAAAAAAAAAATGTTCCTATTAGGGCAGGGATGGGTCATAATTTTTGACCTGGGACCACTTCAGAAATTTTTCAAGTGGCCCCGGACTGCCCTAAAGGGGTGGGGCCTGAGGCAGAAGGGGAGGGGCTAGGACATTTCCGTGCTTTCCCACCCACAGACCCCGATTGGTGTAGGGGTGGGGAAGCACTCAAAGTCTCTGCTTCCGCCTTCCTCCCCCCCAAGAGAACCACCAGCTGTTCTGAAGAGCTGGCAGTTCCCTCTAGGTACCCGTGACCCTGGCGGTGGGAGGAGACTTCGCACGCTCCCCCTGTTGCCCCCGGTCAATCAAGACCTGGGGAGGGAGAGCATGGGAAGCCTCTTGCTTCCTGCCCCCACCCTGCAAGGGAGCTCCACTCTCAGCTGGCCGTTGACTTTAAGTGCTGAGGCCCTTGAAGGCCGGGAGGAGACTTCACACGCTTCACCTGCCCCCAAGCCCTGATTGGCCTGGGGGCGGGCTGAGCAGCAGGGCCTCCGTGGGCTGGATCAACTCTCTTGGCAGGCCGGATCTGGTCCGCAGGGGCCCTTTTGCCCACCCCTGTATTAGGGCAACATTTGTATATAAAAAAATGTATGTATGTGCACATGATATTTGAAAGGACATTCCTGCATCTTGTATGTATTTCTATGCTGTTACAGAAATATAAGCACTATTTGACTGGTACTTGGCGTGTGTCGTCGTTTGGGGGCATGCAGAATGAATTTACCTGTCCATAGCTATAACAAGAATGACGCCCGTGAGAATGGTGGTGCTAAGTCACTCTCTGGACACAATACTTGTTTAGTGCCATGGTGGTTGAAGTCAGGCCCGTTGTCGGGCGGGTAGAAGCAGTTGCCGTGGGGCCAAGCAATTCAAAGAGGCCCAAGGCTCCTGACTGCTGCCACTACCGGAGCCCAGAGGACTTGAATTCACCACCCACAGAGCCACATGCTCTTAGCAGTTCTGAGGACTGGAGTGAGGCACCATGATCTGGTCAGCACAGACAGTTGACTTCCCTGGCCCTGCCCCTTCTGCCTGAGGCCCCGCCCCCTTCCAGGACAGAGCTGGACCCACACACACACCTGGCCCAGGGGCCTGCAGAGGTTGAAGCTGTGATGCACCACACCTTTGGTTATCATAACTACTCTCCTTTTCTTCCTCATGCGGGAAGGTCACACGAACGGAAATCAGGGAATGGGTAGGATTAGGAAATGTGATCCAGCACAGATTGAAGATAAAAGAAAGCCTCCCCTGGACTTAATTGGGCATTGGATCCGGCTCAGAATCAAATAGCTCTTCTTAGCTATTGGCTTTACCCTGTTTCAGAGAAAGTCCATTCTGTCACTGGACTGCTGCCATCTGTCTAGTACCTCTGGGGGAAAAGAACACTACAATGCCAGCTCAGATCAGTGGGCTATTATGGAGACCAGCCTTGCCAGGGATGTTGTGAGACCAGGATTTTATAGGGTTCAAAGAGCTAGATAAATTCGTGGAGGTTAGGTCCATCAATGGCTATTAGCCAGGATGGGCAAGGATGGTGTCCCTCACCTCTGTCAGAGGCTGGAAATGGATGACAGGAGAGGGATCATTTGATGGTTACCTGTTCTGTTCACTCCCTCTGGGGTACCTGGCATTGGCCATTGTCAAAAGACAGGATATTGGGCTACATAGATCTTTGGTCTGACCCAGTATGGCCATTCTTCTGCTCTCGGTGGTATGAGAATTGGGTCTTCTGAACTTCTTAAGGTTCATCTTACAGTACTGAGCTCCCAACACTGCTCAGTTTCTTGGTACCATTTATCACTAGCTGAGGCAGCAGGTAGAAGGACAGTGATCCCCAAAATCAAAATGCATGGGGAAATTAAAGAAGCTGGGACAGCCTTAGGTCAAGGACAGGTGTAGCAAACAAGAGTCTATTTGTGGATCTTCACGGGAGAGGAAGAGGGGGGAGAATGTGAGCACAACTGCCCTTGTCCTCCGTCCCTTCTGCCCTCAGCCCCATACATATAGGGTGCAGAGCCCCTCCCCCCCCACACACATACCTTGTTTCATGGCCCATGGTGACTATCGGCCTGCAGAATTACCTTGAGCAAGTCAGTTCACTGCTGCATGTCTCAGTTTTCCCACGAGTCTAATGATTCAGATCTGCTTTGTAAAGTACTTTGAGATCTAATGAGGAAAAGTGCTAGATCAGAGCTAGAGCTAGGCATTATTTCACTTGTCTTTATCTAGAATCCTTTAGGAGGTTTAAAAATCTTGTTAAATTAAAGCTTTGAATTTTTAAACTACTTTTCGGGGCAGGGGTTAAGTAAAGGTCAACATGCTTTGATTCAACTGTAGACTCCCCCCTTCATTAACAATTAAGACCTGCTAGACCAAATTTTGGCTCTTGCTCTTCCTCTTTTTCTTCTTGATGACAAGGACAAATAACAGTCTTGTTGGGACCCACTGCCCTCTCCAGGTTCTTGGCTGTTGAAAGTGTGGCATTGGTGGAGCATGATGTACAGCACAGCTACGTTAATAGACACAAAGGCAATCAGGTTGCAAATGTCTTTAAATCCCATTGTATGGATGTACAATAAAAAAGCCTGTGTTGTTTTTGTATGGATGCACGGAAATAAAATATTAAATTAGAATGGTTTGCAATGTATTGTTTTAAGATCTGATGCTGATTTTCTGGTAGATATTTGGAGGTTTCTATATTTTGGCTACGGTTAAATGATGGCCCATTGATACATGGCTCAGCAGTCTCCCGAACGACGGTATTCCATTATTGTATTTGTCATGGATTCAAATGAGACTTAACACATCAGTTCCTTTTCGTTCTTGTATCAGTCAAGTAGTTTACGAGATCAAAATAGGTTCCCTTCTCCAGCTTCTCTCCACTCAGATTTCATGGGAAAATGAAGAGCAGCTTTGCAGTATCATAGTGTTTGGCTCTTAGGACAAGCCTTCACTCCGCAGAAGATTGATGCTGCTGCAGTCGATTTTCTGGAGTTCGATTTAGCGAGTTTAGTTAAGACTTGCTAAATCAAACTCAGAGGACACTGCAGCCAGCGTCAGGTTCTCCTGCTCTTGTCAGAAGCAAAGGAAGTTGACTGCAGAGTTTGCTGCCATCAGCCTCCCGCTGTGGGGACGCCGCCGCGCTGGATGTAAAATAAGCCCACTCCAGCTACATACTCTGCGTAGCTGGAGTTGCATCCCATAAGGTGAACTGCCAGGTCTAGTGTAGACCTGGCCTGAGTTTGATGCATTACGGAGATACAAGCATAGTATAAATGAGAAGTCCAGATTTCAGGACTTAAGTCCTTACTGGAGCTGTGTCTAGACTACACCTCTCTGTCAACAGAGAGATGTAAATTAGGCATGTGGAAAGTGCTAATGAAGCGGGGATTTAAATATCCCGCACTTCATTAGCATAAACATGGCCACCACAATTTTTTCAAAATGGAGCTTTTTCGGGGAAAAAAAGGGCAGTTTAGACATAGATCTTACGAAAAATAAATCCTTTTTCGAGAGATCCTGTACAGGATTTTATTTACTAAAAATTTTAATTACTAAATTAGGTGCCCTTATGTGCCCTCTTTTCTGCTCTTCTAGGTGGCTCTCCCTGCACCCCGTCTCCCCCACACGCACCAGTTACTTATGATCTGCAGTAATCTGTCAGTATCCACTGAGCTCCCTCATCCACACCTTGAACATATATTTATGGCTTTGTTGTGGCTCTGTGAGCATCATCCATGATGGGAGTAGATTCAGACACGCACCATTCCATTGGGGGCATTCTACCGGCAGGTAGGAGGACTCTGCTAGCTTTGGAGGAAGGTCACAGCATTTATGATCTTTCCTTTTTGGACGCGTGGTATTCATTCCTTCTGTCCTGTCTGCAGTTCACTAGCAGGGACTGTCAAGGGTAAGAGGACATGGCCTGGGTCCACCTATTTGTGCTCTCTTTAGTGTCTTCAATGCATACAAGACCCAGGATTGGAGCTGCTTCTGTAGGATCTTTATGGGGGAGGCAGTTCTTGTGCTCTCGGACCCTTGCGATCCACACACACTGTACCAGCCATCACCTGCCTGGTAGTATTTTGTTGGTTATCCATGAAATGGACAATACAGGTAGAGTAAAATACGG